TTTTTCCCGGCTCATATTATATAACTACTCCTATTATACTGCTTTTACACTAGTTTCGCTCCCCATTCAACCCATATTTGCATCCCTCCCCTTCTCAGCCCCTCTTATCCAAATCAACCCCTCGACTTTCCTTTGATTGTTATTACTACTACTTTCTCCTCTGCCTCCCCTCGTATGTTTATTTGTATTCCACAAAAATTTCGACCAAAACTCCGGTGGAATAATATTTTTTATTCCACTCAAATTCCCTCCGCTCTCTTCCAATCGGGCCCTGATCCGGGCGGCCGTAATTAATTTGCCTCACAAAATATGATTATTTCTTCATTTTCTGTTTGCCTTGCAGCGCTTTTTTGTGCGTTGAGTTGGGAGTTGAGATGAATGGGTTAAAGAGTGGGGTCGGAAGATTGAGAATAGAGGGGAGAATAATCAAATTAGACAGATTTGCTGATCCTCTACTAACTTTGTTTTCAATGTTACTGAGGGAAAATTAATTTACATTCAAATAAAGACCATCCTCCACAAAGATCTTTCGTAAAACTTTGCATAAATCCCCTTGATGATTAGATTGGATTTCAGAGGATTTCCTGTTTATGCAGACAAGCTTATCAGTCATGCAAAAAGGCCTTCCAGCCGGCATTAGACAGCGGAAAAGGACAGAATTTACATCACTTTATATTATTGTGATCTATGTAGAAGACGGTTGATGATAATTTGGTGTAAAATTAAGCTTAATTTTAGTGTTTACGGAGCGATAAGTCTACGATAGATAGATTAATGCCATAGGAAAAGAAGATTAGGCTGTCTTATGCATAAAATTTACATTTTGTCTTGATCCGTAAGCAAAAGAATATTCTATTCTGCAGTATCAACAAATTTATCGGATCGAATTTCATGCCAAAACATTAGCCCCACCGCCACCTGAATCCTTCCGCATCATGCCTCGCGCTTAATCCCCTCGCAGCCTCATTTATGCAAAATTTTGGCCCCTTCATCCGACCCGACCCGCATTCCAAAAGTCCTTCAAATGGCCGCCAAAGCAATTGGCTTTGACTGCGTTTTTTGCTCTCCCCGCCGCCGCTTCGCGGCCGCAAGGCCCCCGGGCCCCGGGGGCGGAATGGGGGGAGGGGACGGGGGTTGAGCAAGCCGCTCCACAAATTTGAATACGGCCTTTTGGGCCAGTTTCTGTTTTTTGCGTCTCGTTTTTCCGCATGCGTCTCCTCTGCAATGAAATTTAAATTTCCTCGAAAAGGATTCGGTTCCGGCCTTATGGCTTTACGAGTTTTCCGGCGCCGCTGGCCCGGTGCCGGAATGCGCGGGCTAGCCCAGCGGCTCGAAAATTCTAATTCCCCGCTTCTGACAAATAATTGCCATGAATAAATTATCCTCCTCGCTTGAGAGCGTGCCCACAACACGCTTTTAAGCCGTATTTTCTCGTACTATCCGGACGGGATCTTCCAAAGTAATCAAAAATGATTTCCTGGTCTTGATTCTACTGTGAGTTTGGGCTGGACTAATGGCAATTCCCATAAATTATTTATGGGCCGCTCTTGGAAATTGGTTCTCAAGTTTTCAAGTTTGGAAGTTCTCGCGGGGAATTTGAATTTTGTGCAAATGATTACAACTCATTTGCCATTTTTAGTCGATAATCTTGATCATGATGACACATAGTGAGCATTGGTGATTTTTCTCGGGCTATATATTCCTTGGTAGTTCTACTCCATCATTTTGATCTTGATCATGGCAGAATCTGACTCGATCAATGCGGTTTTCTTCATCTTTTACTGTTGCCAATCCTGTCAAAAAACAGATTGTCATTCAAATTTTACAGCCTCGACCCCTCGACCCTCCCCTCCAGGCCCTTATCAAGACAATGCCTATTATCACCGGCCGGCCCCTTCATTATGCATATTAAGTTCCCATTTTTGCTCGGAAGACACTTATTCCGTCCCCTCCATCCTCTTCTTTCCAATATTTGCATTCGGGATTTTATCGCGCACTCCTTGGGGCGAGCGAGGCGAGACAAAGTGTAAAAATTTGAATTTTTAGTCGGTTTTTTGTTTGATTACTCCGATTTTAATGAGGATGACGTGCGCGGGATTTCCGAAAAATGCGTTTTAATTTCGCGATTTTTGGTGGGAGAGCCCAAGGGCAGGTGGGATACCAGTTGTGAGAGGCCCTGTCGGATTGATTTTGAATTTTCATTGGCTTATTCTAACTTTCTTTGGTAAAATTGAGTATAAAGTATTACATTTTTAAGACTTTGAAGTTGTTATTTGTCACTTCAAACATACCTTTTCTTTTCTTGATCCTTTAGAACCCTTAAATTACCCTACCGTAGCCTGATATCACTAAAACAAACAAAATCTTTTCGTATCACATTATCTCGCCGATCGACCATAACCGCCTCTGGGTGGACGCCCAGTTTCTCTTCGAGTCTTACAGCGGAGTAATTTATGGCAGTTTGCCGGCAGAAATTTTTTTGCATTTTCCAAACGATTCGAAAAACGAAGCGCCGAAGGCAGCGAAACCCGCCTCGGAATCGCCTTTGTTTAGGTCATAAAGCTCGTGGCGGCGGTGGGTTTGATAAATTTTATCATAATCATCATGTGCGCTTGAGTGACAGCGGGCCCATGCATAAATTATTTAAATCTCGGTTCGTGTTTTTTTGGCCATTTTTTCGGTCTCGTGGGCCGCCGCTTAATTCTGGGCCCCAAATATATGTAATTTACATACAGAGCGGAGAGGTTAGAGGGCTCTGGGGCTCGGGAAATGGGAGGTTGGTTAATTTTGGTTATGCAAATTTATTGGCTGGGCAAAGAGGGATGGCTGGGCGGGCTGAGGGATGATCGATGAGGCTGAGAAATGATTTTAAAGATTTTTTTGGTTTTTTGGAAATTGGGGTAGTACTGTAAGGCTTGTAGAGTTGCTAGAACAAAATGATGGGGTTTATACGTCTTTTTATTCCAACGAGATTTTCGATTCTTGGCCAAGATAATTCTGAATGCCTTTTTGATGACTTCTATTCATTTTTTTGGTTGCTTCTATCCCCAGCCCCTTCCAAATCACCGCAACCTAATTAACCTTCTCGGTTTACTCCCCCAGCCTACACCCATGACCATAAATCGAATATTTGTGAATTTCTTCACCCCAAAAATTATAATTGATACGCCCTTGCGGCGGTCAGATGACGGAAGAGCCCCAAGTCTATATGTTAACGCGCACCCCTCCCCTCCCTTTCAATTATCATAGACTATCAATTTCGGAGAATATTTCCATCGACGAATCGAAGACGTCGATATTATAGTAGAAACACAAATATTCATCAAAGGCGCTGCTGCTTCCGTCGGTGCTCTTCTTCCCCTTCCACAGCGTCTTCTGACCCTTTTCTCGTCGATTCACAAAAAACTGATTTCCATGCCTTGAAGCGATGAATGAATGAATTTATATTTTCATTTCCACCGACCACGCAAAAAACGAGATTGCGAATTTCCATCGCCCGACTCCAGCTTATGATATGATAATTCGTCTTCTTTTGATGGCTTCCGGCATCGAGATGGGGGCTCGAATATGCCTGCGGCTATGGTAGTCAAAAATGAAGACAATTTGGGGCAGGGAAATGCAATGAACTTTACACTTTAACACTGGTCATTTTCTTGGGTAATTGGGGGCTAATTAGGTCATATGCGGTGATGTCAACCGGTTTTTGGGGTCGCGAAATTATATAATATCCGTTGATAAGTTCTAATTCGCGCAGATTACAACCTGGAATGATCATAATGCGGATTTGGGGAAGGATTTACATTTGATGACATGTGTAATATAACTTTTGATCGCAATTTTTTTATTTTTGGGGATATTGGGGCATACTGAAAGTACTGACCACTTTTGGTACCCTCTTTTGATAAACCATTACTTTATAAAAATTTTACTTCTGCACAGCGCGAAATTTCATTTTTTTTTACCGCACGGTGCAATAACAAAAGATTTTTTGCAATGTGCTTCAAAAGTTTGTCTTCCCTTTTGCACTCCCTAAAATTAATCCACTTTTCGAAATTATGCATTTTTATTAAAAACACTCAAATTTCAAGACCCACTTTCTCCTGTAATCCCCGTTTAATTAGCCATTATCTGCTACTAGTCATGTTTAATATTTTCATTCTCCAAAATTTATAAAGAATCGAAGGGAAACAGTCGAATTTTGATAAACCTTCCAGAAACTCACAAAATTTGTTTATTTTGTTTCGAAAATGTTTGGCTGTCTCGCTTTTTTCCGAAAATTCGTCGAGATGACGGACTTTCTGGAAATTTTATAATTTGCATGCGAAATTTATTTTTTGGCCTAAAATAATTTGCTTGGGGATTTATGGGCCTTTGCATTGGATTAGGCTAAATTTTGCATCGAGTTTTAGGCATTCTTTAATTTTGAAATTTGAATTTGACAAAAGGAAGAATGATAAGGGTTCAGGTAATTCCGCGAAATATTCCTCTCGAGTTTTGTGATTAATTTATTTCTGATTTGTTTATTTATACCTTTTCCAATCATGTGATTGCCTCAAAGGCAGCTGGTTTCTCAATTTTATTCGAATTTTGGGGTAATTATTCTATTTTTTGCGAAGAAATGAACATTTTTCACTGGTTTGGAGTTTTAAACCTGGTTCAATTGGAATTTTGGACGCTCTAAATTGTTGATAATAGCCTTGGGTTTGGTTTTGGATCATTGGGGACTTTGTAGTGACGATTTTGAAGTATTTTTGATTAAATTATATTATTTTAGGCATCAGATGTAAATTTCTTTCAATTTTATCCCTAAAACGTGCGAATTTAGGACAGGCTTGAAGTTTTTAGGTAGTTTATTGAGCTGTACGTTGAGTTTTTTTACTTTTATGATCATGCGAACTCAGTTTTATCGTGTGTTACCTCAGGTTTTGCATAATCCGTGAATATTCAAATATATCCAAGATCTACTCGATTTTCTGACATGCAGGCCTTTTCAGGGGTGAATGACGGCTGTCTTGGCCCGAGACTCGAGACGGAACCAGAGTTTTGAGTCCGACGAGAGCGACCGCCAGTCCGTGGATGCCCAGAATCCCATGGCCAGCGATCTGCCCCACGATGAAGACGGGGACAATATTCATAGGGATGACGATGAGAAACACTCCATCATTGATCACACAGGGAAGCGAAGAGGTAATGCAAGTTTTCATTAATTTTTTCTTGAATTTTAAGCTTTTCTGATATTATACTGGACATCTATGCCTTGATTTTGAAATATCTTTTTGATTACCGTAAATTTCGCGCTGCCCTCTCCTAATATTTACTCGTTATCCACAAGGAAATGTTTGCAAAATCCCTCCTCTCTCTGCAAACATTACCCATTTCCCCAGAAACCCATCTTCGTGTTGTAATTGGTCACTTTTTCAGCCATCGCCGACCACGTCCTCGTGAACGGAGAGCGCATCGTTGTCGTGGACCCGAACGTATCGGACGTGGAGGAGACCGACGAGGACTCGGATCGACCAGCCTCTTCAGCCAAGCGTTCCGTTTCCCCGCAGGCCAACAATCGGCGGAAAGCAGATTTGCCGACGAAAAGGGCCGCAACCGGTGAGCTACCGTCCAGTCCGGCTAGAAAAATGGGCCGAAATGCGTCGACGGTGTCGCTAAATGACTCTGGAATTGTCAGTGGAGATGAAACGGCGTAAGTTAATTTAAATAGGATATAAAACATTAATTTACTTGAAAATTACTTGAAATTTAATTTTTTTTTGTTTGAAAAAAATATTATTACCCCCTAATAGCGAGAAATTTTAGATCCCCAAATGTTTCTGTCCCCGCCAACCTGCTAAAACTCCTGTTAGCCGCCGCAGCCGGTGATGATAATGTGGCTTTCACGGAGGTTCTAAAGCAATGTCCCGAACTGATCGAATCGTTCAACGAATACCTCCCATCGTGCTCAAAACAACCTCAAAAGATCAAGGAAGAGAGTGAAGACTCAACCACCATTGATCCAAACACACTGGCAAAGCTATGTAAGTCAACAGTTGAAAAAGTTATATTATACTTGGCATCAAGTAGTTGTTGGAGGGAAAGGGTTGTAACTCAGAAAGTAGATGTCTATTAGAGCAATGAATTGAAACAGAAGAAGCTAGAGGACTGATAGTCCTTCTAGAATAATAAGAATGAGGTTTTTTTGAATTAATTCCCAAGACCAGCCCGTTTTCTGATCCCTTATACTAAACTCCATCCCACCCAAAAAAAGGTCGCTGTAGCGTCTCGTGACGTTCTAAGACCCTCTATTCACAACTCCCCGTAAGGGTTCTGAACTCAAGCACAACACCAGAACAGCACTTTAACACCAGTCACCCGCTGTGAGTAATCCCATTGATCAGAAGCGACCTGTCCCACTAGTATAATATAATATGTGGGCTTCCATTTCTTTTTGTATTCTGTCGTTGCGTTTCGGAGTTCCGACTCGAAGCCTGTCGCATGTTCGCCCTCGACCCTCCCCATAAGCCTTTTTTACGTTTTTAATCTCTCGAAAAGCACCGCGCGGGTTGCTTTTGTTCCTGCAGTGGTCGGGTTGTGTGTTTCTAACCCCCAAAAAAGCGAATTTACGCGTTCAACCCTCGAATTTAATTAGATTGGCCTCCCCGGAAACACTTGACAGTTTACAGAGCAGTAATTTGACATGTAAACGCGCGAATTTCAAGTGAAAACACAATTTTCTGAGAATTTTTAGTGCAGATCGGAAAAAAAGTCGAATCTTTTTAGAGTTGTTTACTCGAAAAAGAAGCGGATAATGGAGGAATTAGAAGTATAATGCTAGGGTAAACATGAGAAATCAGATTAACCAGGATTTGCAGAGTCCAAAATCTTCTTTTGCAACGAAATTTGCGAGCGAATTAGCGGGAAAATTAATGAAATTTTATAAATTACTGTAATGTGCTCCAATTTCAGCGGCACTGTCATCAGCTGAGCAAATCACGACCGCTTTGGCCCTGTGGCCAAATGCCACAATTGGTGATCTGGCAAATCGCGCCTTCGCTTTGGGCCAAGAACCCCAACCAGCGACTAATAAGAAGGTCATGAAGCAGCCGAAGGTGGAAAGCGGGGATCAAGGAAGCACGAATTGGCTGGATCTCTTCAGAAAGGTTGGTGGTTTGGTTTTCTAGATATTTTTTTTGATTTCTGGACCTTATGAGCTATCACTGACCTACTACAATATAATTTTTTATATAAAATTTTATAATTTTTCAGGAAAAGCCAGAGCAGATCACAGTAACTCGAACACCTGTCCGTGCAACTCCAGGCCGCGCCAGAGACACAGTCCATCACATGAAGTCTTCAGAATCCGTCCTCAGTCAACTTCGAGCACAAAAAGCGGAATCAAATCCGGAATTAGCGGAATTAGAACAGTTTGCACAGCATTTCAAGAGACAGCGGATCAAGCACGGTGAGTTTTCGGAGTTCAAAAACCTTAAAATTATACTCTTCAGGGTAAAAAAGAAGTATGTTTCTGATGATTTTGCTTCATAAAACGCGATCTAACAAGTCGTTTAGGGTTCACCCAAGGAGACGTCGGAGTAGCTCTGGGCCGAAGATATGGCACCGACTTCTCGCAGACCACGATATCCCGCTTCGAAGCGCTGAATCTGTCCTTCAAAAACATGTGCAAACTCCGCCCGCTGATGGAGGAATGGATGAACGAGGCCGAAGCCGCAATCGAGCGAGGCGCCTCGGTCACCGAGATCGTCGAAGCCGAATCCTTGGCCGCCCCTTCGAATGAGACCATCGACGAGGAAGCGGCCCAACTCAAAGCCCTCCTGGAACAAAGCGTCGACACGAGCCAGGTCCGTCCTTTGGTGTATGGTGGTGTTAACCGTAGTCCATTGTATAATATGTGTAATGTCCCGTCTACTAGTTTCGCGGCCGAGAATCTCGGCCAAAAGTCTAATTTCCGCCAAAAGTCTGGCAAGAATCCGACGATAACGTCTAAAGTAGGTCCTGAGAAGATTCATGTAGGAGTCAAAAATAGCCCCAATGCTGCTTTAAGACTTGGAAGCTTTAAGCCAGTAGGTTATAGCGCAAGGATTTATCAGAGATCACCGGAAAGTCCGATTTGGACCAACAAAAATGAGGTAAAAGGTCATAAAATAGATGCTTTGGGTAATAAAGAGCCTGGTAAAAACGCTGAAAGCTCTAGAAGACCGAGTAGACAAGATGTCAGAGACAATGAGCATGTGAAACGACTCCTAGAGAGGGCAGAGACAAGATTGAAAAGCCTTGATTTGGAGAAAACTCAGCGAAAAAATATTGAAAACTTTTTGGAATCGGTCAGAAATTTACCTTACGTGGATGAAGATGCTCTGCCATTGGTCACTGAAGTCCTCTACGAACTCAACGCCAAACTGGTCGGAGAACCAGTGGTTTATTCACCAGTGCCGGAAAGAGAAAGGAAGAATAATCTGGCTGAACGACTCTATAAATGGTTTACAAAATGCATTTCCCCGGATAAAAAGGACGATTTGAAGACAAAAGAAACTGAAGAGGAGTCTGTGGCAGTTGCGATTCATGCCCAACAGATGTTATCGAAGCTACAACAACCGGAAAGAGTCAAAAATTTGGATAAACATCTACCCGATTGGATGGTGAATTTTGATGAAGACGATTTGAAAAAAGAAGAGGCTTACGACTTGGTTGATGACGATGATGGAGCTCTGCAGACCCAAGGCAACGATGTTTTCAACAAACATTTCAATTCCACACATTGGAATGGACAAGAAAGGCCAGTCCAGATGGACCTTGGATATGACGATAATTTCAAAAGCTTCTGGAATAATGATTGGTGGAACAACAACCAATACAATTACGGAATGCCATGGCAAGACCACAGCACATTCTTTTGTGCAGTTGCGTTGCAGAAACAGCAGGATGACGCGGACAATTATCACAATGAATGGAATGAAAGCGAATGGAATTCCGTCGAGAGGGGACAGGGAATTTTGTGGGCAGAAGACTTCCTTGACGATGTACAGGATCTTTTCTATGTTGATGTGGGAGATGAGTAAAGATAAGAGGTGGACATTGATGTGGGCCTTAATTTCTGGCCGAGTGTGAAGGCTTTTGGCGAGAGAAGAGATCAAGATGATAAATTGAGAATTACGGTTAAGATCATGTGACAAAAAAGTATCAAAATGCAACATAGATGTAATAAAATGCAACCTTTTTTCTGGCCGAAGAGAGCTGTCTGTTGGACGGAGACAACGCTTTTCGGTCAGAAAATAGATGCATTTTATTACATCAGTGCTGCATTTGGACACTTTTTTTGTCACTTTAGATCCTGTCAGGGACTGTAAGAGCAACTGCGAAAGGTTGAAGGTGTTATAGAGAGATGTAAAGAGTATTGTAAAGCATTTTCAAGATAAACAAGAAGTTGAAACGGTCTATCTCGGTGGCATAAGCGTGGCTCGGTCTAAGGTCCCAAATTTGAAATCCTCATAATTTTTAGGAGGTTTAGAGTTATAGTTCAATAAGATTTCAGTTTTACAGATTATGAAAATCGTTCTAATTGCATCCAGTATTCGCTTTTGCTCTCGCATCTCAGCTTCTCTCCGGCAGTTATTACTCGTAAACCTCGTTGAATTGTATATATCTCATTGACTTGTTGTCTTACATTTGTGTGTTTACAATATGATGTAACAAGGTTGGTTATATCCGTGGAAAATGAGTATGAAAAAAGAAGAAAGTACTAATAATAATGAAAATTTCTATTTGGTGTCGAGCGATGTGATCTAAAAATTCGCTTTTTGTGATAAAGTAGGAGCGAACTTTGGCTGAATTGCTGATTTTGCACGGATATTCAATCAAAATGATTGTTTTTTTTTGATAATTTTGATCAATATTACTACTTATTCGAATAAAGATAATATTCTGGAATGATTTCAGTTCTCCCCCGACCGCTGTTCCCCCATCCTCCAAGGTGCCGTCCAAACTGCCTTTGGCCTGCCCACCCTGAAGAAACGGAGAAAACGCACGAATCTAGATACCCGCCAAAAGGATGCTTTGGATGCGTATTTCATCGAAAATCCCCGGCCAGATCACGGGAAAATGGCCGAAATTGGCGCGGAATTGGATTTGGATCCCGATGTGAGTCGAGAAGTTTATTAATAGACCCTTAGGGCATTTGTAATAGTTGTAATTTTTGAGTTGTGCTTTTTTAGAGTCAGTTTTTTTAAGTTGATGAAGACTAAATTCGAATTATTTTTTCAGGTGGTCCGTGTCTGGTTCTGCAATCGCCGGCAAAAGCTTCGGAAAGTGATCTAACGCCCGCCCTTAGCCCTCGCTAGCCGCACCAAAGTCTCTCTAGTCCAGACTTCCCACAGCACCCGCACCCGAGAGATTTCTATGTGCCAGTGATATCCCTTTCTGTATCCCTGTGCCTCCATTTTTCCAGTTTTTTGATTTTTTTTTCTTTTTGATTTCTATTATTTTGTCCGTCCGCGTGCTCTTCGAACCTCAGTGAATCTTGAATTTTTGTGTTTTTTTACCAGTGTGTTGTCTTATTTTACATTTTTGAAACTTTATTTTGTCTACTTGGTTTATTTGCCCTCAGGTGAATCGATTGTTTGGGTATAAGCCTGAGGCAAAATTTGAAGCCCGTACCCCAGGTTCTTTTCCCCCAGAAATCTGCATCTTTTCCCGCGCATTTCAATATTTTTGCATTTATTTTTCGGCTAATCAAGTCTTGCGGAATCGGGAAGTGTGCATTGATCACTGCCTATTTCGGAGCAATAACACAACATCATATCAGAAATTGCATTTTCCAAGTCCTATAACGGTAATCGTGCACACTTCTGACCCCATTTTTTCGTGGTCGATTCCCTGTTCATACCCGCATATTTTCAAGAAAACCTCCAAAACGCGTATCCACCCCGATCCAAACCTCCCGAAAAGGTATCCAGTGTGTTGTTACTACTTCATTTCCCACAAATTTGCATAATTCTCGAGTCTTCCTAAAGAACGAAAACTTTTATCCTCCGCAGAACCCTGTTTTATTTCATTGGTCCGGTATTTTTGATGGTTAATAAAGTTTGTTTTGAAGTTAATATTTTTCAATGAATTTACGTCGAGAATTTCCCATGCTTAGGCGTAAACCAGATAAAAAAAAGAATTTTTTTGTCAGCGGATATCACATTTATTTTTCATAATCGTATTTTTCAATTAATAATTCACAATATCACGACATACCAGACTATATCACACTGTATTCGTCACATTACTTCACAATAATCCTCGTAATTCCCTCACAATTTCGTGGATTTCCCGTCCGCCCGTCTCCGGCAATTCCCGATACAAGTAAACGAGTGATCCGGCAGCCGGAAGGGCGTATAACAAAAGAAACGCGTATTCCTGAATTACGTCGTACAATGGGAACAATGTGAATGTGGTGAAGAAGACGATCGGGAAGATGAAGACCGAGCACATCATTTGCACTTGCGAGCGATGCCTTTGTTGCACCAATTCCGCATTCAGATACCATACCGTGGTGCCCACGCCGAGGCCGTACGTTACCGCGTAGATTAGCACAAACAGAACGCAAAGGTACTTTGAAAACGGTACGTAATAGTGTAAGCGAGCCGACACGACAAAGCCAACGAGACAAACAACTCCGGCGGAGCCACAATAGAGAAGAGCGGGTCTACGGCCAAATCTTTCGATCACGAAGGACGCGGCGATCGCTCCGCCAAGATAGACCAACATCAGAACCATGGAAGCCCAAGAAGCGATTTCTAGAGGGATCTCGACGCGTTGAAGAAAGTCGGTCGAGGACAACATTAATGGCCAAATCCCAAGGGTGTTCTGGAAAAAAATTAAAATTGATTTGTTGATAGTAACGGGCACTTACAATTAGCGCCAAACACCCAAGAATTAGAGCTTTTCGGAGATGCGGAGTCATCAAAATCTCTTTGAACGAGGACTCCTCACAACTTTCGACATTTATTTCCTGCAAATCAAGACATTACTGTGTAATTTGAAACTGTTTCGGCTAGTTTAGCTCGTCATTCTACCTGTTTCATCTCCTCCATGACTTTATCGACATCGGTTGAAGCTCCATGATAAAAATAAATCGCTTTGTGCGTCTGGGCGATATCTTTTGTTCTCATGTAGATGTGCTTTGGGGTCTCATAAAGAGGAATCAGAACGAAGATCGCCAAAAGGCCTAAAGACTGATTAACTTAAAAAATAAAATTTCAAGGGGCCAAGTAAGCTGCTATACGAACTCACAAGGAATAAGAGCAAATCCAGTGAGCAATCGGAGATCCCATCCCAGCACCGACTCCATACTCACAATCATGCCGACCAGACTCACAAAAGCATTCGAATTCTCGGCAATCGTGGCAACCGTTCCACGAACATTTGTTGGTGAGCATTCCTGAGAGCAAATATAAGGAATTTGAGATACAGTAGGAAAAAACGTATCATTTTGCATCCGGGAAGTATCAAAAATGTGGCAAAATGCCTCACTCGGTTTTGAAGAGAGCGTCATTTGACTCGCAAAAAAGCGGTTTTGAAATCGGAGTTTTTTCACTTGGAGAGGGAGGTATTTTGCTGCATTTTTGATACTTCCCGGATGCAAAATGGTACGTTTTTGCCAATGGATCAGGTCCGCCACTGTATCTGTTCGTACCTGTAACATCAAGATCATCGAATTGTACGTAATCGACGACGCGACTGACGCCATTGCCGCGGAAACTATCAACAATTCCGGAGAGTAAACCAGGATGGAGGTGAATCTCAAACAAGCCGCCACAAATGCGAGCACATTGAAGGCGATGGCTCCTACTTTAATGTGCTTGATGTTACAGTAATCCACTTACATTTTCTCCCCATTTTCTCGTTCACCCATGGATTTAGGAACTGCCCAAGGAGAAAGCTGGGAAACCAAATATTCAGAATGGCCGCCCAGAGCCAGGAATAGGCGGATGGGCTCATCTCTTGACCTCGCCGTTGAAAAGACTCGTTGAGAAATGTCTTGAACGTATTCACCGAGCCATTCATATACGAATTGGCAAAAGCTGGGGTGAATACGCATGCTAGCGAGATTACCAAGCCCAAGAAGTAGATGCGGAATCGATTTTTATAAGCTTCGGATTCCATCTAGAATAAGTTGGATACTAATATCTTGATGAGTAAAATAAGGCGTCCAAACCTCCGAGATAGTCATCAAAAACACTGACACTGCTCTTACAGAGTCACTCTTATAAGAAACGTCGAATGAAAGAACATCCAGTGCAAAAAAAGGATAGTTTGATCAAGAAACATGCAAATTTTATCATGAATAATATAATGAAACGGTAAAATGAGTGGCAAACCCCATTCAAAGACACAAGACAACGCCCAACGGAGAAATCAGCAATGCACATCAACTTACCAAATTCTCCGAGAGAGTTTCCGCAGAGGATCGAGAAGAAGACATTGTTTTTTATAACAAAGTCGATCACAGAGTATACTCATAGAATTTTGCAATTTTTTTGCGGTTACTATCGAATATTGTGATGGATTTACATGATAATCTTGACAAATTTTTCTTGCAAAAGATCGAATTGGAAAAAAATAAAGTTTTATGTTGTTGCGAAATGTCACAGAAATTATTGATTGAGGCGGAATGTCAAATTAAAAAATTGGTGGACCAGCAAAAAAAAGTTTGAAAACTGATTAGGCTAGGCTATAAAGATAATTTTCAGTGAGTTTTATAGTGCTGTAGAAGAGAAATACGTCATTTAAAATACGATTTTATGAACAAATTCCCAATCATTTATGATAAAAAGCTTGGGCATTGAAAGGAAAAAAATAAAGAAGGGGAAATCACGGATAAACAGCGGCAACCCTCTCCACTTCCGATTGCATAACCCTCTCAAGTATTTACTATTCGAATTTTAGGCCTGGCTCTTGTCGTCCTCAAGCTAGTCTAGACTACATTACCCAAATCAATGATTGAGAATAAAGACTCCTTCATGACACAAGGTAAATAAAAAAGGGTCGAATTGAATATCTGACGAAAAATATAATATTTATAATTGTGCAAATATTTTAGTATAAAGTTTGGTAACGAAAATAATGCAAGAGTTCAAAACGCTTAACCTTTTCAATAAAACTATTATTTATTTGAGGGGGAGCACGGAGGGAATTTATATTAAAATTAGGCTGGATAGACTTTTTGTTGCTTTGAAGTTCGTATTTTTGCGTAAAAAATTACCAAAAATTCGGAAAGTAAAAAAATGAAAATTGAATTCAAGTTTTTTCTTATCTTAAAAACTCAAGCAAAATTTTAAAATCAAAAAAATACGATTAAAAAAGCTACCAGAAAACAAAGGTGAGAACAGTTACATCAGATTTGATTACAAATGTTCTGCTATAAAAACGGTTTGAAACCCTTTTTAAATCCAGTTAATTCTTGCAAATTCCAGTGAGAAAAAACATTGTTCGAACGAAAAAGATTATCAGCAGAATTTATCGCACCTTCCACACTCACGGAATAAAGGAAGCACCTCCGAGAAAAAAGGAAAAAGCCCAAAATAATAAACGATATTTAGAGTTTGCATCTTATGTGATTCGCGATTTTAATAAATTTTGAGGTTTGTGAAACTAAGGACGATTTTAAGAATAATATTACCTTTTGTTAGAGCCTTCGATAAATTTCATCGGCAGAGCTTTACATTTTATATACACAGTAATGCAAAATATAATAAATACAAATTTTATGGCAAGAAAGTTATCTTATTATCTTTAAATATTCTTGTAGTGTTATGTAACCCAAGTATGGCGTTGATATGGCAATCCTACCGTCCAAAAACAAGGCATCAGATGATAAATATCACATAAAAATTTCAATCCATACTAGCCATTAGTTTGGCGAACTGGCAAGGAAGTTTGTCACAGATCTCGCCGAAAATTAATTCCTGAAAAATGTATATACTTTTTATGGAAACCCAGAATTTAGAGAGTAAAATACGAAGACTTGAGCCTTGCTGTTACCTGTTTTTCTTTATCCAGCATTTTCTTTATGTAACCAAAGGCGTTTTTGGCCAAAATCTCGACCTTATTCATCAAGGCCGTCTCCAGAATGTTCTGAACATTTCCCTCGTTCATGCAGTGTTTGCATCTCTCCAATAACACGTTCTTCAGCTCGTCCATTAGGAAGTAATCAGCCGCAGCCATAGTCTCGCTGATTGCATCATCAACAGAATCGCTAAGTTCACCGGTGTAAATGTAGTACAGTATCTCGTAAACTGACTACAATTCATTTGTTTTTATGATTACAAAACTTTTCTTACCGCAAAATTAACTGATTGGATCACATATCCTTTTTCGTTTTCTATATAATTGCTCATTGCGGTAAATAATCCCTTAAAGTATGGAGAAGCTTGGTAGAGCAAGATACGATGGACTGGAATCTCGTGGACTCTTTCATCATTCCCTTTGCAGATTAAAGTAAAGTCGCTGAATCTTCGGTTCAGAAAGAGTTCTTGGAAATTTAGACGAGGCTGAATTAGGCTGACCGTCTGGAAAAAGCCATGTAAAAAATGAAAACATAAAAACAGACATACCAATTTAGTTATGGTGATCTTGAAGTCAAGATAAAGGAAGTTCCCGGTTGTGTAATACGCTGTATCAAAGAAGCTGATCTTCTAAAAAATTTGTGTTTTCAATCGATTGGACTACCTGCTTAAACCTTTCCGGCTCCGTCCATCGTTTATCAATGTACTGCAACCAATGTGTCGAGTGGATCAACACATTGATTTTGTTCCAGTCAGCTCCAAACTCCCCATTCAGGCACTAAAACTAATTTTATCCATAGACAATTTGCCTTACGTTTAGTTTGAAGTAGGTTTGGTTGGGCTGAAATTAAGTTATTCACAGTTAAATTGCAGCACTTTGCTTTACCTCTTCCTTAATGCTGAACTGGATTTCCAATTGTTTTACAACCTCTTCCGAGTCCGTCTTTTTGAAGTGAAATTGGGGATCAAGATCGATGACAAATTTTGGGAAATGGCCATAACTATACTTCAGCGACACAGCTCTTTCGCAGACCAGCGATGGGAGAGATCTGAAAACACCGTTGAGGCTATGCGGGGACTTTTAAAAGGGCGAGATTTTGCCCGTTTTGAGGCAAATTAAAATTTGAGTCATTGTAAAATTGCGACGCTTTGTAAAACTCTTTATGACAAAGTGAAAATGTGACAAAAATCACCATATTTTCGCGCGTAGAAAGGCAACAATTTGAAGGTTTCCAGGCGCAATTTCTTTTATTTTTTAAGCCCTTTCCTTACTCTGTATTCTCGTGTTGAAAACGATTTCTCAACGCATCAATGGCCGCTACAAAGTGCTCTCTAATAAGCCCTTTTTCAGCTAACATTAGACCTTTGCCGTGACTTTCCCTTTGTGCCCTTCAAAACAACAGTTTTTGGTGTTTTTGCGCTCCATTGCAAAGTTTTCCTTTCCCCAATCAAAACATAAACAAATCCATTCAATCGATTCGCAAAACGCTTACCAAAGTGCATGCCCGAGCAAACAATAAACAAGTTTACGATTCCAGAAAACCCTTACCGATCCTCCATAATTGCCCGCAATATCCGCACGTTATGTCATCGATTGTCAACGGGGAATCGATCTCGCTTCCATAAAATAGGGGCGTCGAAACATTCGAAACGAAAAACGAAAAAAAAACGTGTGATGTTTTGACCCGAAAAGGCGGTCAGACCCCGAAAAAAGTCTGAAATAAAACATCACGCTTAACTGGTAAGTAAAACAAACGTGTATCAGCGATTTTTTGGTGAAAAATGGATAGTTTACGGCATGCAATTACAGTCGGTTTTAATGGTTCAATAGGATGATGACTCATTGATATTATAAAAAACTTTTTTTTGTAATCATGACTAATAAAGTTGATAAAATGTGATAAAAACTTTGGTTATTGATAAAAAAGAAATTGAATGGCACATTTTTTATAAATAATATGCATAAAGTAGACTATTATTTTTGGAAAATAATAAAATTTTCATCAAAATTAATTGAAATTTCTGTTAAATTTAAACTGTAGCCGTTCAAAATGGTTTATAGAAAAGAAATCGGAGTGCATTGCAGTTACTCTAATTAACTGTTGTGGCCTTCACTTCGAAGTTTGACGATAACGAAAACAGACAGAAAAAAATTAGTTTGAGTGAATGAACTTTGTTGGTATGGCTGAAAGTACAGGAGGCTAATTACAAAATGTGTTTTGTGTTGATAAGATACAAAGATTGAACCTTCTGTTATCTCCAGCACGCCTTCAGGTAAAGTTATGACGCCTGAGCTGGAGTTTTACGTGGTCAGCGAGGTATAGTATAGAAATCTGCACAGAGAACTCCCTATTACTAAACCTGTCTATAACGATCAACTTCAAGGGTTTCAAGAGGCAGTAGTATGCTAGAATGAAAGCTTCGTAGGACAAAATCCGAGTAATTTTATGCAAATTCAGTACAGAAGTTCCACTACAACTGGTCAACCTTGACTCAAAAACCACTAATAAAGACAAGATAAAATATTTTCGTTTCTAATTTTATGAACAGATTTGTACCAGGTTTCATCAAAATCTAAGGGCTGACATAATGGAATGTAAATAAATTGACCCACGGTTCTATATACATATGTATATTGAACCATTTTGTAACGAATGTCAAATCATAGGTAGGGCATCTAATCCCACCTTTCAACTTCTCAATTCTTCTTAAATCCCCACTTAAATCATACTATTTACATAGCTGTCTTCTCCAAGAAGCTTCATACCCATCATCTGCAGCAACCCCAATTACGGTATTAGCTATGAAAACGAACCGCAAATCCCAGCGATTGATCATTCTCAATCCCCAGAATCCGTTCGGAGTGTCCAGCGGTGCGACGATGAATAAATGAAAAAAGTAAAATTTGAATGTCAACTTTTGCTTTCAAAAGAAGATTACTTCGGCGCCGTTTAAACCTCGCACAAAAAATGCCGGAAGTTTTTTCTCAACGATTCCAGTTCGAAATCCCAATGAAAGGTCGAATGTTGCTTTTTTTATAGTACTTTTGTCGAAGGCTTATTCATGTTGATGTATTGTGGGATTGGAAATTAATTTTTGGAGCTTGTGATAAAAACTTTTTTATTGTACATGGTAGTAAGATTGATAGAGCAATGTGCATTTTGGTTACTTATTGCCTTTGAAAGAAGTTTTAAGTCTAGTTTTCCGGCGGCAGTCTGTGAAACTTTTACTGGAACGGCAGATGAGAATTGTTGGCCAGCGTGAAAAGCCCATTTCATAGCTTTTCCACTTTTTCAGAGAAAAATTTGCTGTTGTGTGGAAATATTGTGCGCTACATTAGTATATCAGTAAAAATTTACAACCCAAAAATCTCAAAAAAGTAATAAAAAATTTTTGACAACTTTTTAGATGCGCGAGAAAACAAAGTAATATATGTACGTATTTATGTCTTATTCTTAGAAAATATTGTTCCTCAATTTGATCTTACTGTTCATTGATCAAATCTTCTCATGCGAAATAAACAAGAGGAATGGAATTTTGTAAAATACGACGTCTTAGCATGCTCCTTCAAAATTCACTAACAAATTTGTCGCACAGCTCACTGATCTCTGTCTTTCTTCATAGTCAACTGCTCATCGCTGTGAAGCCAAATATTTGCTTAGGATACAAACGCGAGCTCAACCGTAAATCTTGTCGCGCTCCATAAATTGCGCATCTCGAGAATCTTGAATTCGAATCGGGCGCCGGCAACAACTGGCTTCAGACGCCATCGACGCACGAGCGAACGAAGAAGACGCTCCCCACAAAAATGCTACTTTCGATGTTTGTTCTGTAATTGCGGCGGTCCGTTATATCGTGGCGCTATGGAGTGGCAATTGAGGGATGCAACGGAGTCATCAGCGCCTCCTCGAGTGCTTCTGAAATGATCCCATCGGCATCGAAATTGTGTCTAATTAGGGGGCTGCAGAGAATGTTTCTTCAGCAGCGTAAGGTGGGTGGATGCGCAGGAGAGTTTTGAGTAATAGCGCGGGGGCTCTAATTGTTAGTCAACCGCTCTCACCGCCTAAACGCACTTTATTATTTCACTCCAGTTTTCCACTGATTTTATTGGGCTACGGTAGAGTGACTTTTGATTCGTTATTGTTTGTTTTCTCATCAATAATTTAAATGTAGTTAAATGTAGATTCTGGCGAACATCGGTAAAGTATTTTTGCCTGTAATTGCGACAATCTGAAATTATTTTCTGACCAAATTTTTTTTAAATCAGCATAGCCTTTACATTCCATATGGCATCCCTAATTGGCCGCCTTTTTTAGCAGACAAATTGTAACTTTTCTTCAACAATACCATACAATTTACGGTATAGCTACATTCCCCACACTAAAAGTGCATTAAACACACTTCAACCGGCACTTTTTTTGTATTTCTCTGCCCCATCTTCTCGTCCCCCATTTCGCGCGACATCTCGCCTTCCTTATTGCCTTGAGTCAAATTTCTGAAACTACTTGAAGATACACCGAAGGATAAGAGGGCACCGTTACAACGCGTACCCTCTTTTTTGGCACGAAAATCTTTTCTCGACATGTTTTGTATTTTCAGACGCTGGCTACAAGCGCGTCGTTTCCCCCCAACAAACATGGGTATTTGGCTGCATTTTTAACAAGTCGGGGTTTCCTGTAAATGAAGATTGTAGTTTACAACCCTGCGCCGAATGCTAAAACTGCACGGCTAATAATTAGGCTGGGTTAACAGCAAGGAAGTTGAGCTAAAAACGGACTTTACTTTTTTAATAATTTGGATTTCGAAAATACGGGAGTTTGTAGCTGAAGTTTTTTCAGATATTTCTGTCAAAATTATTTGTAAGGGACAGTGATTTTTTGCTAACACTTAATTTTTTCACAATAAAAAGAAATTGTATCAAGCTATTGAATAAATGCACTTGTCAATGGAAAAAATTATAAAGTAGGGGTAAGACCTTTTTTAAGATGACAAAAAGGGGCTTGTTCTAGATTAACAGGGTCTGGCTTTATAGGATATTTGAAAGCATAGGATGATCAGGGATATAATGTAAACTTTGATATCGGTCTGTCGAGAAAATAATGAGCACAATGACGCCGCGCCAATCGCAGCAACTGAAGTCATCTTCTCGGCGGCGATGCGACATTGTGCTCATTGCTTTCCCGACCATCATTCATGTTTACTTGGATCAAACTATAAAGTGCTTCAAAGCCCACGGAATTAAAAAAAACCTACTTAATATTACACATCCCTAAGAACAGGATCATAAATTGTCACCCTTTTTGACCAAAGAAATGCCATTTTTATCATCTTTCGTCGTTAAAAACCACCGTGCTAAGCTTGACCTGTAGCCACGTTTTTCTTGTCCAAACAAACAAAAATAAACCTTGCATACAATTAGCCACTAGATTTTTTTTCAGTTGCAAAACTTCTTTACACCATTGCCCTCACGATCAGTCGTTTTTTGCAACAGAAAATTGTACAGCAAAAACGTTGACAGTTTTTGACTTTCAGTTTTTTAGCAGGCACGATATTCTTGAATTGTACCTGTACTTTTTATTGAGTTTTGTATTTCGCCGGAGATGCGATGAAGAAATTATATTTATTAATCGTTTGAACTGAGAGTTGTCAAATTGGCCTTTTTAAATCACAAAAAAAGTTTTAAAAATAGGACTTTTTAACTCAACAGCAAACATACTTTATCACGGTAAGTGACTATTGTCAAGAGTAATTTTTGAACGCTTGTATTGTAAGCCGTAGTCTCCCATTGTTGTTCAAGACGTTGCCAAGTTTAAACCGAGAATGTGCTTGAACGGAAAGAATGACCGTGTGGTGGACAAGGGTACAAAAAACGAGTGCCTGACACCGAGTGTTACATGACTCACAATTGCTGGAATGTCAGGTGCACGTCAAGGTCCAAACTATTCATTTATAAGTGGAATAGTCATAAGATAGGGCCGTTGTTTCAAATTCTGCAGAGTTTATAAATTTCCAGACATGCAACTTCCAGTTCTCGAAATGAGACGTGAGATTTGTGAAGCTTGCGACAAAGTAAGCATAGACTTTGGTGACATATTCGCAGTATTTTTAGCCCACTTGTGGATTCTACTGATATTTTTTGGTGGAAGTTTACCATAATGTTTGTGTTTTTTATAAAACTTTTTAACGAATTCCAAAATTATTTGAATTTTTTAAATAAAAAATTTCTATAATTTTAATGAAACCTGCAACAACTTGGATTAATTTTTTCTATGAAAAGCAAGATTTCTAGCTCGCGTTTTGCAGAAACAACCGAGATTTTTATTCCGAAGGTTGACCAAAATTAGACCCTTTTTGCGAA